GAGTGAAGTGTAGCACTTTATCCTGCTGTGGTAAGACAACACTTGGGATATTGAGTCCAGTTTTGGTCCCCATGATGTAGAAAAGATGTGGAGACCCTAGATAGTGTGCAGACAAGAGCAACAAAGATGATTAGGGGACTGGAGGCTAAAACATATGAAGAACAGTTGCAGGAACTGGGTATGTCTAGTCTGATGAAAAAAAGGACTAGGGGAAACATGATAGCAATCTTCCAATACTTGAGGGGCAGCCACAAAGAAGAGGGGAGGTCAAGCTATTCTCCAAAGCTTCTGAAGGCAGGAAAAGAAACAATGGATGGAAATCCATCATGGGGAAAAGCAACCTAGAACTAAGGAGAAAGTTCCTGACAGTGAGAACAATTAATCAGTGGAATGTCTGCAGGTTTCTAGGAAGCGATTGGAGAACCATCTGTCTGGAATGGAATAGGGCAGTGATGGCAAACCTTTTTGTCCTCACATGTCGAAAATGTACATATGCACACAATAGCCTCATGCCCACAATACAATGCTCCCCACCCACCTGCACATGCAAACACCAGCCCTGCGCATACGCACGTGACCACTCCTACCCCCACGTATGGAAACGAACGTCCAGGTTGCCCATCCGGAGGATTTCCTGAAGCCTGGGAAAGGTGAAAACGGCCTCCACCGCCCCCCCAGGACACCAGAAACAAATCATTTCTGAACTTCCAGTTGGTCCGTTGGGCCCATTTTTCACCCTCCCAAGACTCGAGGCTTTCTTGAAACCTGGGGAAGGGGAAAACAGCCTCCCTTGGCCCTCTGGAAGGCGGAATATCAGCTACCAGCACTCACATGCACGTTGGAGCTGACGGCTTGTGTGCGGCCAGATATGGCTCCGCATGCTACCTGTGGCTCAAGCAGGGGTTGGACTAGAAGACCTATAAGGTCCCTTCCAACTCTATTATTCTGTTAAAAGACTTTTCTCCCTGTGTGATAAAGAGGACACAGGGGAAATCCGCTTTCTCTCCCTTGGAAGGATGGAAGGTAGATTATAATTGTGTCTCAGGAAAGGAATCCTGGACCCTTTTCATTCACCTGTTCCCTCTGGGTCTCTTTCAGGGCTTCACACCTGGCAGGTGAATTTGGGTTGTGAGCTCAAAGAAGACGGGAGCAAAAAAGGGTTTTTGCATTATGGTTACAATGGGACGGACTTCATCAGCTTTGATAAGGAGACCCTCAGATGGGTGGCAGCTCATCCCCAGGCCGAGAAGGTCGAGGAGAAGTGGGAGGATCATCCAGGGTGGTCCCAGAGGAAAAAAAACTTGCTGGAGAAGACCTGCATTGAGTGGCTGCAGAGATACCAGTCCTATCAGAAGGAGGCTCTGCAGAGGATCGGTGAGTGACAAAAAGGGGTCTCCATTGAGCAGATTTCTGTGGGCTTTCCCCCCCCCCAATAATATTTCTGTCCTACATAGCCAAGCCATGTTTTAATGGTCAGGAAATATGACACATCCCATTACAGAAGAATCTTCAATGACCCCCAAAATAAGTTCTTCAAAAATTAATAAACTAACTGAGTAAGCCATTAATGATGCGAGATCCAGCTTTTCCAGAGGAAATCCTGCAAAGAATTTGAATTGAATTGAATTTATTGCATTTATATGCCGCCCTTTTCCCCAAAGGGGACTCAGGGCGGCTCACAATCCNACAACAAAGTGGCCTGGAAAATCCTGAGGGCCTCCCCTCTGGGCAGGAGCCGATTCTCCAACTTATTTTTTCAATTCCATGCCAATTGGGTCTCACCGACACTCCCCACAGTTGCCAAGGGGGTTGTGATGTGGGCCTCTCAAGTGTTTCCAGGGTCAGCCAAGGGATGCTGGAGTCTGCCTCCTTGCATTTAAGGTTGTGAATCTTCAAATGCAGGGCAAAAAGAGGGCAACCCATTTGTGGGGGGGGGGGGATGACTGCTGAATGACCAGAAGTTGGAGGGAATGATGCTGCAGTTCAGAGCCCCTAATTCTGCCCTTCTCCCTCTTCTTCTCCAGGCTCCCTCACATACTTCCTGTGCTACTTGTACCTGCAAGAGCCAGAACAAATCCAGAGGCTGTCTCAGTCCTTCATGAGGGGCTACTTGGATGACCTGCCCATCGCTTACTATGACAGCCTCATGGGGAAGATGGAGCCTCTGGTGCCCTGGATGCAGGAGGCGGAGGAGGAAAGATTCCAGACCCTTGAGTGGGTATTTGAGATTGACCTGGAGAACTTATCAAAACTCAACCATCAAACAGGAGGTGAGCAAAAGCAGTGCCACCTGTAGCCTTCAGTGATAGAAAGCAGCATAATGGGGAGATTTTCTTTCCTGCAGTGGGGAGAAAAAAACAAATTCCCAATTTTCTCCTTCAGCTGGAAATTCTTCCTGGCCTGGCTGGATGCATCACACACTGGCCACGCCCATGCCCAGTTTAGCGAAGGGGGGAAAAGTCATGATATGTTATGTGAGTTTGACAACCCTGGACTAGATGGTACCTCGCTCAATAGCAGTAACTGTGGGAGAGGGATCTAAGAATCCTAGACCAGGGTCCCCCATCCCCCATCCGTGGACCTGCAGAGGTCCATGGCATGCCAGCAACTGTGCCAGGCAAAGATGCGAAGCCCCATCCGCAGGATGCAGGCAGCATGCAAAACCATGGATAAACCTTTCTCCATGGTACCGGTTCCTGGTGCCCCAACGCTTGGGGGCCACTGTCCTAGTGGACAGTCTTGTAAGGATGAGCCAGCTGTGTGCTGCAGCCATCAAAAAAGCCACCACAGGCTGCATCAACAGATCTGAGTGATGTCTAGCACTTTATCGTGCAGTGGTAAGACAAGACTTGGGATCCTGAGTCCAGTTTTGGTCCCCATGATGTAGAAAAGATGTAGAGACTCTAGAAAAGTGCAGAGAAGAGCAACAAAGATGATTAGGGGACTGGAGGCTAAAACATATGAAGAACAGTTGCAGGAACTGGGTATGTCTAGTCTGATGAAAANACAACAAAGTGGCCTGGAAAATCCTGAGGGCCTCCCCTCTGGGCAGGAGCCGATTCTCCAACTTATTTTTTCAATTCCATGCCAATTGGGTCTCATCGACATTCCCCACAGTTGCCAAGGAGGTTGTGATGTGGGCCTCCCCACTGTTTCCAGGGTCAGCCAAGGGGTGCTGGAGTCTGCCTCCTTGCATTTAAAGGTGTGAATCTTCAAATGCAGGGCAGAAAGAGGGCAGCCCATTTGTTTGTGGGGGGGACGGATGACTGCTGAATGACCAGATGTTGGAGGGAATGAAGCTGCAGTTCAGAGCCCCTAATTCTGCCCTTCTCCCTCCTATTCTCCAGGCTCCCTCACATACTTCCTGTGGTACTTGTACCTGCAAGAGCCAGAACAAAGCCAGAGGCTGTCTCAGTCCTTCATGAGGGGCTACTTGGATGACCAGCCCATTGCTTACTATGACAGCCTCACGGGGAAGATGGAGCCTCTGGTGCCCTGGATGCAGGAGGTGGAGGAGGAAAGATTCCAGACCCTTGAGTGGGTGTTTGAGGTTGACCTGGAGAAGTTATCAAAACTCAACCATCAGACTGGAGGTGAGCAGAAGCAGTGCCACCTGTAGCCTTCAGTGATAGAAAGCAGCATAATGGGGAGATTTTATTTCCTGCAGAGGGGAGAAAAAAACCAATTCCCAATTTTCTCCTTCACCTGGAAATTCTTCCTGGCCTGGTTCCACCCAAAAAGGGATGATTGCACCTTCTGATCATTAAAATCCAATTTATGGGTGAGAAAAGTAAGGTTTAAAATTTTGGCAAGAAAAACCAAATGCCCAGGTATACAATAGATTAAATCAGGGCTGTCAAACTCGCCCATCAGCTGGATGCATCACACACTAGCCACGCCCATGCCCGGTTTAGCGAAGGGGGGAAAAGTCATGATATGTTATGTGACATGATGACATGAGTTTGACAATCCTGGACTGGATGGTGCCTCGCTCAATAGCAGTAACTGTGTGAGAGAGATCTAAAAATCCTAGACCAGGGGTCCCCCATCCCCCATCTGTGGACCTGCAGAGGACCAGGCAAAGATGCGAAGCCCATCTGCAGGATGCAGGCAGCACGCAAAACCACGGAAAAACCTTTCTCCGTGGAACCGGTTCCTGGAGCCCCAAAGGTTGGGGGCCATTGTCCGAGTTGTCGGTCTTGTAAGTATGAGCCAGCTGTGAGCTACAGCCATCAAAAAAGCCACCACAGGCTGCATCAACAGATCTGAGTGAAGTGTAGCATTTTATCCTGCAGTGATAAGACAAGACTCCACAGGATCTTGAGACTTGATTTTTGAGCAGTACCAATCCTTTCCACGCTTTCCTTTTCCTTTCTGTCCTTCTTCTAACTTCTGTTCTTTTTTCCTTTCCTTTCTCTTTGCCTTTCCTTCTTTTCATTTTCTTTCTCCTTTCCTTTCCTTTTTCCTTTCCTTTCTCTTTTCCTTTCCTTCTTTTCTTTTTCCTTTCCTTCTTTTCCATTTCCTTTCTCCTTTCCTTTTTCCTTTCCTTCTTTTCTATTTCCTTTCCTTTTTCCTTTCCTTTCTCTTTTCCTTTCCTTCTCTTTTTCCTTTCCTTCTTTTCCATTTCCTTTCCTTTTTCCTTTCCTTTCTCTTTTCCTTTCTTCTTTCCCATTTCCTTTCCTTTTTCCTTTCCCCCTTTT